ATTATAGCCCCAGAATACTTTTAAAGCGCCTTTGCGTTCCAGAATCTCGACGGAATTTTTTTTTTTTTTTTTTTTGCTTAAACGATTCAAGAAACATTGTAGTTAAAAATATAAAGATTTTTCGATTTGGACGTATGAAAAATGTTTAACTCGTTCAGGCACACCGTGTATTGTATGGAGTACTGCTGTTATTCGACCGTTGTCTTCAGGTCAAAATTCTTACAAAGAAGCCCCTTGCAAGAGGCAAATTTTTTGTAATTTCTCCCAGTTTTTTCAGCGTTAGGTATATAAATGAATTGTTTGTCAAATTTTGAGGTCAATTATATTTAATTGTAATTTATACTTTCTTTTTTTCCCCTTCATTTTATTTTTCGTATCGAGGAGTCGAGGTTTTGTTGATTTCTTCGGATTTCGATTACTGTAACTTCTCTTCTATTCGGCCGATTTTTATGAATGAGGTCTCTTTTTATTTGTGTTTTAACGGAGAGTAAGGAAAAAATTGCTAAATACATGCGAAACAATTTTTTTTGAAAATTGGATGAATCCTAGCGTGACGGTGAAATGGTTAATGAAGCGTGAGTAATTGGGGTACGGGTATCGGCCGCGTTGGGACCCAAGGCCCATTGTTCTTCGTGACGCCGACGCAGTGATCAGGAGCGTGGGGACGAGAGGGCTTAGTGGACTCCTGTATGAGCCACGTTTAGCAAATGGTCTAATGAGTCTCGAGGCTCATCACAGATTGCACTTACCACTATCCTGGTGGCCCCGGCTATCAGAGCAAGGAGTACCAACTTTTGAAAAGGATAACAGTGTTGTGGAGATATGTCAAAGCAACGTTGTGAACAAAACGGAGTGAGTGAAATTCTCATTCAAGGAGTGCCGAACTGGTCAGCCATCCTCGAATCAGTTCGCTTGCTTCCGCTTATATATGCATATTTTAAATCAGCGCGCCCCATTCTAAGGTTTTTTTAAAAAAAACCAAGAAACGTAGACTCTTGGTATTCATTACACATAAACTAGCGAGCCCCAGAATGAGAAACAAATTTTAATCATTATTATTGACGGATTAGTAAACTTTTTACACGCTTTGGAAAATCTCAGAAGTTCGCGGTAGTCACTTTTCGGTAAGGAACTAGGGGACTCGGTTATTGTATCGAGGGGGGGGTCGAAACGATCGCAAAGGCGGTATACTACGTATACGCGCCAAAAGCGGGGGGAAAAAACTGAGAGAAAATGAATATGACGAGCAGTAAATAGGTGGGGATGGTGGATTTTACAAGATTTAAGGGATGGCCGATTCCCTAGGGAACTTCAAGGAGCCCCAGAAAGCAGCCGCAAAGTGAAATGGTCCAATATGGTCCTAGAACCGAGGCCGCACAGTTTCAAACCCGCATAGTAGGGCTGATGTAAGAACACCATATAGACCATATACTCACGATTCACATAAAGGAACTTTTTTCACAGTGTTCCTCCATTCGAAACCAGTGTCACTCTACTCTTTGTTCTGTTTCATGTTTTTCAAATTGTCAATGAGCACGACAAAATTAAAGACAAAATTAAACATCTTTCTTTTTTTTACTGCATCATCACTTTGGGAGAAGAAAATTGATCAGACAGATGATTCGATCAGCCCTATTATGTCAACTTAAAATTTTGAAGTATATCACGCTTGCACCAACCCATTCATAATTTCTATTCTCTATCTGTACATCTCATACTTATCTTTCTAGTATATTTCCATATCTTTATCTTTTTGTTTACTCATCTTTTTCCCGCGTTTCCCTGCTCCTGACTCTAGTTTTTTTGATCCAGCATGCAAAGTTACTTGCAATGCGCAACCTCAAAGGATCAAGCGCTACAAGCCATCGTCAGTAATTTAATTTCAATTTTCTCTAAGTAGAATGTAATTGAATCTCGATGTATCAAGTCCGCTATCAGACCAACTGTGGTGGAGATGCGTATTTTTGTCTCGTAAAAAAGCTGTAAGAAGATAGGGCTGGTTACGTTCAGAGATTTGTAGAAAATACGTGATTCTTTAAGACCATACAGTATGGACTATAAAATGTTCCTCATTTTTAATGAAGTTACGGTTTATTGCTGAATGATGTCTTAATCAATTCTCAAAAGATACCGGCTTTAAAGAGCTTTCGAATCCATGGCCGGATTAATCTACTTGCCACTCATGGGCTGCCTGTATCTTGCCGTCGTCTTCTCGTTCATTTTGAAACATCAATAAAAACCATCAAGTGAACGTGCCAGAGAGGGAAGGGTGCATAAGACGCGTTCAATCGTGTTGGACACACTTTTTGCGTAAGCCCTGTCAACACTACTAGCAAAAGTTCACGGAACTTCGCGGGAAAGTTCAGTTCCGTAAACCTATCTCTGTAGGGACAAGGCCTTTCATTTGTATTAAGAAATGAACTAAAAAATTAAGAAAGAACAAACATAAATGTGGTTTAATGATTTTAACTTCCGCCGCCGTGCATGCCGCGCTTACCATACTGTGTTTGGCGCAATGCGTGAAGTATTCATGTAGTCTTGTAGGCGCTGTGCGTTTCACGCCGCGACGACCGCTGTTGACCGTACTGTGTTTGACGCAATGTGTGAAGTATTCATGCAGTCTCGTAGGCGCTAATATGTGTTACATGCCGATCGCCGCGTCGAGGACTTCTCCTTTTCATCTCAAGTCCTCGTCATCATTTCTCTTTGCGCCGTGCCGCTCCAGGCCAAATTACGTGTTTGGTTTCTCTCTTAACTCAACTAAGTAAAGGTGCGCAGTCTTTTGTATCACCAAAATACGAAAAAATTAGAAATTAATGAACTCTCAGGAAATGAGAGATTTTGTCACCTTTTCTTGTTTGTAATTTTTTTCTGAATCCGATTTTTTTGTACCTGCATTTAAAAAAATTGCAAAATTTGCCGCCCCCTAATTTTGCCGCGGCCCATGTGGCCCTGTTCGAATCCCGACACTTGATTTTTGAACAACCTTAAGAAAAACAAATATTGCAATATCTGTGTAAAAAACCTTGTAGAATTTCAATTTTTTTCGTCCCGTCTTTCCATTTCTTTAACTGTACATCAATTTCTTTCCATTTTTGCGTTCGGATAGCATTTGATTTAAACACAATTCCTCAGCTACTTTTGAGAGGGAAAAATTTACATTTTAGGTACATTTATTTTGAATTCCCGACAACGAAAGTACATGAACACATAAACTTTAAAGGTGAACATGTGATGTGTTACGTGCCGCTATTTATTTATAGTTTATTTGTCCATCCTTTGCTTTCATTTTTTTTCTTTTCCTCTCAAGAACCAACACTTCTTTAGTATTTTGAAAATAAATGCATTTTTGTAGTATATCGCCTATCATTTTGTAGAAGAGATCTAAACACGTAAAGGTTTTTGGAAAAAACAACGTAAGGGGCCCTCCATAAATTACGTAACGCTCTAGAGGGGAGGGAGATCGAGGAGAGCGCTCCACCATTTTGTTTTTCAAGGGGGGGAGGGGTTCAAAAATGCCGAAAAAGTGCATTACTTAATTTATGGACGGCCCTAACTAGTTTCTTAGGAGCTCCTTCGTTGCAAAACTATACGTGTAGATAGCTCATACCTAAATGTAATGTATATGTATACCTAATGTATACCTAAATGTAACCTAAATGTAATGATACCTCATGTAGAACGCAAATCAGCAAAATATCTAGAAAATCTATTAAAATATCAACAGATGCTTTATTTGATCATTTCAGCTTAGAATACTTAAGCCATATGGTTCTCTCCTCTTTGGACAGGAAAGGACGATACAGACATTAATGAGATCATTCCAGCTTATTTCTTCAGTTGCGCTTAAAACTAAATTTGAATTTCAGACATGCAGACTCGTAATCACAACTAGAATACTCACAATACCACCAGCATCTGTGCATGCCAGGCCGTTCTTTTTCAACGCATTGTTCATAACAATTTTATTTGTGATATCGATTGTAATTTTTGACAATATTTCTCTACAAAATTTTCGATATTTTAATAAGAGAATCCATGGTTCATCTAATCTCCATCCTAGTTGTGAAGTCTGACAGCCTTCTAGATACCTGCAGTCCCTGGCACTAGAAAAAGATACATGTAATAACTATTCACAATGGTTTTAATACTAAGTCTTAACCTACGGCAATATTAAAGCACAGAGCGATTACTTAACAAAAAATCAGTTCCATAAAAATGATAATAAAACTCAACAAACTTTATACACGATACTGTGGAACAATAAAAAATACAATATGTGTAAAAAACTAAAACATGGAAAAATCGATTCGGTTTTTCAAAGTTGGTTTTCATCTGAATACTTTTGGGCGCATAAAGTTCAGTCGATCGCACCTCAACCTAATAATCTAATTATTTATTTATTTTATAATTTTTTAATTTAAATTTAATTAATTAAATTTAATTAATTTGAATGCTTAAAAGTATGATAATTTTTGCGAGACTCAAAACTTTATCTGAGGCTCAGATTGCACTGGTACTGAATTTTATTCAGGTTGTTAAAGTTATTACACGAGAAAGATCGTCTCATGTTTTAAAAATAATGAGAGGGTTAGGTATTTGTCCATGACAAAAAATTAAACGACCAAAATAAAATAAAATGAAATAAAATAAAAGCTATTCACTCGGAAAACCTTTTTGAGATCAAAAATAAGTTTGATAACGAGTATTTTTCCCGTCATATTTCTTCCAAGGACAGAACGGTAATTTCAAATCGAAACTATCTTTCGGTCTTTAACAAATATTTACATGAAAACAATCGTTCTAAAAATATTTTCCTAATTTCATTATAAAAAGAATACATCATTCGTAAAAGCACAACTTTGAGATCATTTCTTAAGAAGATAATTAAAAGAAAAATAAGAATTTTGAAAACAAAAGCAAAACATTTGATTAAAAACGTGTAAAAATAATAAGCTGGAGATAGGTTCAGCATTAAAAAATGGAATTATACATCGAGATCAAAGACAATTGAATGTTCGTAATCACTATTTTCGTAAATATTTTATTCTTTCGGAAGTCTTCAATAAAAATTGTTACCTTAGGATAAAGTTCGAAATTCACCCCCAAAAAAATGTCTTCCCCTTCCATTGTTACAAATATGTATGATTTGTCCTTTCTCGTGCTTTTTCCTCTACATTCAAAGACTTGAATATTCCATCCGAGAAAGGAACTTAGTTCATAAACAGAGTATCCTCCTGCGTGAGAAAGGGGATGAAATTTTTGGTCAGAGATTCGTCTTCTACCTGAGGGAACTTTTGGTCTGTAACACAGGAAACAAAACATAGCAAGATGAGCCCTTTGTTTTCTATAATGGGTCAGTTGCGCTGGTAACTGAATTTTGTTGTGATGCTTGATTCTTGTAGATTGGCTAAAAATAATACGATCTGGCCAAACAGCAACTTTCTACGCTCAACATCAACCGATAAATCGCGCTTCGAAAAATTCGGCGTGTGATGTCATCCACCGCTGTTGTGACACCCTTGGTTTCTTCCACATTGTTTTCATCCGAGTTTCACGTTGAGTAATCAGTGCAAATGTGTGTTCCTCTGACCGATGAGGGCAAGGTGGAAGAATCCAAGGGTGTCGCTATTGCGATGGGATGGATGGCGTCAAAAACCCGAATTTTTTAAAGGGCGATATTTCGGTTAATATTGAACGCATGTAGTTGCTGTTTTGACGGATCTTATTATTTTCAGCTGATCTACGAGAATCAAGGATCAAATCAGTATCAATCAATCAATCAATCAATAGCGAATTTGTTGATGAAATTACCTTTCTCCCGATCACTTTTTATCCGGTTTTCAGACGATAGCTATTTCGATGTTAATCATCATCATCAGGTCACTTCGACTTCGATTTGGTAAACACTAACAGTCACACTTTTAAAATACTCGTGGGTGCAACCGTCGCGTATAAGAACGCGTTCGCGACGGGTGCACCCACGAGTATTTTAAAAGTGTTTTATAGTAAATTTTAGTAAATTTTAACAATATAAGATGTGACTGTTAGTGTTTACCAAATCGAAGTCGAAGTGACCTGATGATGATGATTAACATCGAAATAGCTATCGTCTGAAAACCGGATAAAAAGTGATCGGGAGAAAGGTAATTTCATCAACATAATGCAGCCCGATAAAAAGAAGTTCAACTTTAAATCAATAGCAAATTCTCCATAAAACATTTTATCACAGCATGGTTAGCTCATTTCTCAGTGGAGCAACTATTTTAACTCCGGTGTTGGTTTGTTGCCTATCATCGCCGTTTGAAGGCGAATCAAAAAGCGCACATAGGTCAAGTCTCTGCCAATTCAGTTATGCCTGCTTCGAGGAATCGACAATATTACTCACCGAAATCGCTGAAATAGATGGGGGAATAGTCGTATGGCACGAACTCGGCAGTCGTCTCGAGGTCATCGATCACAGTTTCAGACTTTGCCACCCCGAATTTTCCGATTGCTTTCCCTGAAATAAACGTTTAAAATACATACATAAATGCATAGAAAAATGATACATGAATAGATTGATGTGTGTTACAGGTAACACTATGCCGATCATTTCTCTCTCTCGTCTTCCCCAGCCCCTCGATTTTAAGCGCTCAGCCGATAGGCAGCGTTTTTTGATTTCGACTTGCCTCTGAGTACTAGTATACTAGTTCTACTGCGTTTAAATGGCGCACCAGCTCATCGATGTGTAGGCTTTTCGGGGGGGGGGGGGTTTAAAATAAATAAAGCTGTGAAAACTGTATTTTATGCTTTCAAGGTAATACGCAGGTAGTTTTGATCGTTTGTCTGTAAGAAAATTTCTTAGCGGTAGAGTAATTCTTATCGAAATTGATCGTTGAACTCAAATGAAGCCTAAAAAAAAACGCGCCTGATGAGCTCAACGGTGAGCTCATTTTCGGGATACAAAAATACGCGTTTACGGTGTCCTTGGTAACCTTTGTTTGCTATCAGCTGATGTTTTATTTCCATTTCCCAGCCAAGTCGACGGAGTTTATACGTCCTTTCTTCATTAATTACATTTACTAACACCTGAGCGCTTTTCTAATACGACAGTATTAGAACTTTCCCGCTTGTTTTTTCTTTAAACCAGTCTTTAAACCTAAATAGAGGCTTTGCGATGTATCCATTGATCTGTCATTTAAACTTATGCTAAAGGATCGATAAACAGGATGTTCGTGACGAACACCTTAAATATCGATTCTTTACAATAGTTTTAAATTGGGAAATATCGATAATCGATCATACTCGACTCGCCACTGTATTACAGAATAATTTTACAAGCCATTTTTAATATATTATGTGTATTAAATCTGATCGGGTTTTACATAATTTACAGAATTTTCAAGTCGCAAATTTTTCCGATGGAAAATTAAGAAATTGAGGAGTCAGTTTCAGCCAAAATGGCCCACTAGACTAGGTACGAATTGTATCAAATGGAAAGACGGCGCAGTGATACAACTATTCGTGCTTGATGGATGTCTAAGTTGCATCTGCAAAATTGAGGGCGCGATGGCGCAAGCTGTGAATTCGCGATGTTCCGCAGCTCCTCTTTGTGCTGTCAATGAGGTGTCGTGAGAAAATTAAAAAACGAGGCTCGATTATTACGGCTGTGTTGCTCATACAGTCTTTAAAACACCGCTAAAAATACAAATAAGACTAACTGAAACGAGGACAGTATGGAAATGGAGCAAAGTAAAGGAAGCGCGATGATGACGGCGCAGAGATACAACTATTCGTACATGATGGATGTCCGTGTTGCATCTGCAAAATTGAAGGCGCAATGGCGCTGGAGGACGGAAGTGAACTCGTAATGTGTGTTTTTCGTCGGTAGCGCGTTCCAGCGGACTCTTGGAGCTTTTCCGACCAGAAAATCGGACTCAGCGGATCATTTCCAAGCGGACTAGTTTGGTTTCGGCTCGATCGGCGAACTTTCGATTTTGACCCTAAAAATTTAGTCCGTGTAACCCCTGTGGATTTTTCTCGATTTTGGACGGGGAAAAAAAATTCGAGATGATAGTTGGATCCTGTGTAATGGACCAATAGAGAAGGTACAAATTTTAGCATTCTGATGTATGGTTCATAACTAAAATTTCACGTAGAATACGATGCGTACAACAAAAATTACCGCAATCAACTCCTTACGAGGATATTTAATGATTCTTGATGTGTGAATTTAAACCACCCGCTCATGAAAACTCAATGCTCTACGTAATTCACATCGCGCGCTACATGTTGTCATGACAGTCTCTGCGATAAAAAAAATCTGGCAACCTCAATCTTGACGCTTTGGCTCAGCTACAAATTGCTTATAGTTTGAGCAACACACGGTGGGAAATGAACATTGCTCGATTGAGAAGCTCGCTGAAACCGTTGTAGTGCGCGATTTGACTCACGTAGAGCTTTGAGTTTCTTCTGAGCGGGCAGTTCTAATTCCTCGTAACCAATGTGAAGTAAAAACGTTAATATCTTCGATAGAGGTTAGCTTCAGGAATTTTTGTTGCGCGAATCGTGTTTTACGTGATGTTCTGGTCAGGAAACATGTATCAGATTGCTTAAATTCGTACCTTGTCTAGAGGTCCATTCGGTTGAATCAAGTGCGTTTGGTACTTTATGTTTTTAATTTTTTTCCTAGAGGCTCAGTTACACGATCAAATTGAGCCATCAAACTGAAGCTCTGATTGGTGGAAAAAGACCTGAGGTGAGGATGCAACCAATGAGAGGCCCAATTTGATGGCTCAATTATTTGATCGTGTGACTGGACCTTATTGGCTTACCAGACTGATTATTCTTCCTCGCAGCAGATTTTTTTGAATTGGACTGTGAGCCGCCATTGGTAGATTTCCTCATTTTGACCGACACATGAGGCGAAGAGTGGTTTTTAATGTGCTTCCTCAGCGAACTTGGGTCTGTGTACTTCTTGGTGCATCCACTGATCTGACATGCGTAAGGTTTCTGAAATAAGAGACGATTACTTAGTTTTTGCATTGACCATTTGCATAGGCGTAGGAAGAAAGGAGCCAGGGAAATTTTAAATTTCCATTTTCCATAAAATTTAGCAAATTTTTAAAAAACTAGGGGGCTCTGTACACCTTCACATAGACAGGGTGAATTTTTTAGATTTTTCGCGATAACTCGACCAATCATAAACATTTTATGGACAAAAAGCTTCAGCATAACCAATTCAGATCGCCCCTTCATCATGACGAATTTCAATTTCATAGGATCAATATTAGTCACGAAACAGGCAAAAATAGATTTGCAGATTTTTCGCAATTAATAACTCGCAATAACTCAAAAATGAAAAATTCAAAAAAAAAAAGAGATCAAGCGGTGCTACAGCACATAAAGTGTCACACCTCCGTAAAATTTCCATACTCTCGCTCTAATGGTAACATCAGGACAGCGGGGAACAGATATCCACAATTTAAGGGCTTGGTATTTTATTATATAGTAAGAAAAATAAATTGTTCTGTTTGCTTGAAAGCTTCCCTTTCTATCTTGAAAAATGTAAAACAAAACAGACCGAATAAACTGTTTTACCATTCAAACTTTTGAAATTTCAGAAGAATTTAGGGCATACTCATCATGTGGAAGATATTATTTCAATCTTGAAAAACCATTTCCACGACCTCCATTGGCATTTTTTTCTTTTTCATCATAGGAGTATTGACCTGAGTTTGGACCTCTGATTGGATTGCGTTTTGCAAAAAGGAACCAAAAGAATTGCGATGCTGCTAATATTGTACAGATTCATCCCTTGCGATTGAAGTACTAAAATCATGCAAAAATATGAAATTTTCATGGTAATTTAAGTATTACATTTACACCTTTTAGGGTGTAAATTAGAAACTGCTGATGAATGATCAGGATTTTCTCCCAAGACAAAAGAAGTTGTACAATCTTAGCAACATATCAATGCTATTGGTTCCTTTTTGCAAAATGCAATCCACATTGGCGGATCCAGCTAATTGATAACATTGTATTTCCTCCATTTAAACCTATGAAATGTTTCGATTCTTAAAGGGGCCAGGAGCTCCGACAAGAATCGATTATTTAACATAGGTTTAAATGGAGGAAATCCGGTGTTGACAAATGGGCCTGTTGCAAACTTTTGCTAGAGCAAAACTAAGAGTTGTTTCTTATAGATAATGCCTCAAAAATCACGATGAGCGCATCGGCAAACTCTGAAATGCACTCATAACTTCACAAACTGCGTAAGAAATTTGCGGTTTTTTGAGCTTCCCGCTTCAAAAACGATACTACGGCACAGGTGAACATTTTGTAAGAGGAGTCGTTCCATTGTCGGCAATAATCATCATAGCCGACGCCAATCCGCCAAAACACGTTTGATGGGACGAGATAACACCTGAACTGGATTAGACCAGATAACAATCGGTGTGTTAACGTTCATATTTTCCACGCCCGAATTGATTGACCTTGAACTCTCCTTGAATTACGCGCGGAACTGCGTGCAAGCGTCGGCCATGATGAATATCGCCGACGATGGAGCGACTCCTCTAACAAAATGTTCACCTATGCCGTAGTATCGTTTTTGAAGCGGGAAGCTTAAAAAAACGCAAATTTCTTACGCAGATTGTGAAGTTATGAGTGCATTTCAGACTTTGCCGATGCGCTCATCGTGATTTTTGAGGCATTATCTATAAGAAACAACTCTTATTTTTGCTCTAGCAAAAGTTTGCAACAGGCCCATTGCTGGATCCGCCTCTGGCAATCCAATTCTGCCTCCCTCCAAATGCTAGGTTATTTTAATGAATTAGAATTAGGAGAGACTTCAGCTTTACCGTGTCAAGATGGGTTCTTTGGTGTTTTGCTCGATCCGAACTGTTACTGAACGCCTTGAGACAGCCCTCGTACTGGCACTTGTATGGTCGTTCTCCTGTGTGGGAACGCTGATGGATCTTCAAGTTCTCCAGTCTCGAGAATGCTTTCGGACACCCAATAAACTGCCAACACAACAGGGAAATAATAAGTTTTACTTAAATATGCCACCAAAATCAGGCTCCTTTATATAGCAGCTACGGCAAAATTGAACATATTTATGCTAAAAATTGTCAAAATGTGCAACCACGAAATTTATAGTGTTTTTCTGGATCATACGAGCGCGTGCAATTGATTCTATTTGCAGTTCGTTGGATGAATGACATCTCCAATGCCATGCTAAGGAAAAACGCCGTATGAACATTCGAGAGTTGCTACATTTCCCCGGATAAAACATGTATTTTTGAGGAAAGTTATACATATTTTTCTTTGAACTTGTCAGATATTTCAGATCAAATTGCAAACAAAATTTCCTGAAAAATGTGAAGAAAAATATTCACAATTTTCCCAATAAATTTGTTTTTTATTGAAGGAAATATGACAACGCCTGAAGGTTCATACGGCGTTCTTCCTTAGCATGGCAGTACTGTGGTGTATCAATTTTTTTATTTTTATCAAGGAATTTTATTTAAATATTATAACGTAACTACTACAAGTATGTCCTTGTATCTATCTACATGGTTTAAAACTAAAACTAAACGAATATCATTAAATTTACAAGGTAACGTTAGATAATACGATGATTCAAAATTTTCTTCTATAATTATATTTCCCGAAGAGAGAGAAGCCAACCTTATAGACAGAGAAACAAAATCAAAGAAAAATTTTCAAGGAATGGACCACTAGACAAGGTACGAATTTCAGCATTCTGATACATGTTTATGAACCAAAATTTTACGTACAACACGATGCGCACAACGAAAATTACCGGAATAAATACCTTACAAAGATATTTAATGATTCTTGATGCGTGAATTCAAACCAACCGCTTATGAAAACTCAATGCCCTACGTGATTCACATCGCGCGCTAAACGTTATCATGACAGTCTCTGCGATTTAAAAATCTGAGAACCTCGATTTTGACGCTTTGGCTCAGCTATAGGAAATAGCTTATAGTTTGAACAATGTGTAATAAAAACGTTAAAATCGTAAAAAACGTAAAAAACGTAAATTAAGAATTGGTTTCAGTAATTTTTGTTGTGTGAAACGTGCTTTACGTGAAATTCTGGTCAAGAAACATGAATCAGATTGCTTAAATTCGTACCTTGTCTAATGATTCATTACGTTAAGGGAAGTCAAATTCCTTAAACCCCCGCCAATCACAATGTAAATCATACGAGGCCCTCATAAGGAAAGTAGCTATTTAAGGAGCAAATGATGTGCCAAGCAGTGCTCCTCATTAGCAGAATTTATTAAGAGCAGTCTTGTATACACCGTGTCCCATCAACCTGATGATCATAATCATATAATTATCGTCGATGCCGAACGGCATATTAGACGCCGAGCCTAAGGTCAAATCGGGTCACGGAGGTCAATGATTGATGGGGTACAGGGGGGCCTTACGCGCCATGGGCTGCATCGCTCTCTACGATTTTTTAACCTCGTGCACGTTGGTAATTTTTTCAGACGACATATGCGCGCAATGATGATTATTTATGAGCCCGTCCGAGAAAAAATTGAAGGCAGAGACGAGTGACAATATAAACATGAAATTAAGTACTCGAATACGCTCAAGCGATAACATCTGGCGCACAACTAAACCCCCGATCGAAAATCTGGACGCACTGTACGCTGTAACGGGGGAAGACGTTGCTCGACGTGTAATGAACCGCTAAGTAGAAACGATACAACTCTAATGGAAAACTTGTGTACTTGCACGATTTTTTCTTATAGAGTAATGAGCGTATCATCTGTAAGTATTTGTCGTCGGGTTTAACTCCCCCCACCCCCCTCTCTTTAAGGCACTTGTTAGTTAGTATGCTCACCTCGCGTTCAATTGGGATGAAAGAAAAAGGGATCTTGTCGCACTAGTTTTTTTTTCTTTCAAATTTTCAGGCTAAAAGGAGGAGAGCATTTGAGGCTGCAACGAATTTATGTTCGATGGGCCTTGGTTGATGGTCTAAGTGACAAATGTTTTTAAATATCAACCGTAAAGTGGATTGCATTTCGCAAAAAGGACCGAGCGCAATCACATAGTTGTAAACATGTTGCTTCTTCATAATTATTGAAAAAAACCTCCCAGAACAGCAAATAGTTTTCCGTTCACACCACAAAATTGTTAATTTTAAAGAAAAATAATTGTGTGAATTTTAACACAATATATATTTTAAGTATTTTTAAAAGAAAAGAAGAAGTTGAACGATTTTGAAAACGCTGTAATCGTGCTGGTTCCTTTTTGCTAAATGCGATCCAAGTTAGAGTTGCAATATTTAAGATAAAATTGGATTGCATTTTGCAAAAGGAACCAAGAACATTTCAATGTTGCTGGGATTGTGCAACATACTTGCTTTGCGATAACAATACTGAAATAATTAAACAAATCAGATTTACAAAGGTGATTTTTGTCTTGAATTCATAGTTTGAGAGAAAAGATAAAACTTGTATCGGTGATCAGTTTATATTTGCAGGGTGAAGAAAGATGCACAATTTTAGCGACACTGGAATGCTCCTGGTCCCTTTTTGCAAAATGCAATCCAAATAGTGTTAATCTCATATGTAATTAGATTTATATCCATGGTGTGTTGTTGTTTATGGACTATCTATTACAGTAACCATCACCTGAAACAATTTTCGGATGAAAAAAAAAGAAATTCTCAAACCTCCTCTTTTTAACTCTTAGCACATAATTGAAAACATTTTAATCTGACCTATATAGACCAATGAAACACGTCTCAGATATTCGATCGTGGGAATCACGGGATCTCTAATGCCTTGCTAAGGAAAAACGCCGTATGAACCATCAGACGCTGCCAGATTTCTTCAAAATAAACGAATTACTGAGAAAATTGTGATCAATTTTCTTCGACATTTTCACACCTTTTTTTTTTTTTTGCAATTTAATCTAATAAGTCTAAAACTTTCAAAGAGAAATATGCATGATTTTCCACTAAAATTAATGTTTTTTTCCAGGAAAATTTGGCAACTCTCGAATGTTCATACGTCCTTTTTCCTTAGTATGGTAGATTACCCGAAGACACCGCCAAACAAGAGGAACAAAACGCATCTTGGCAGATCGTGCAGTTCATCCTAATCACACTCCTTATTTACCAGCACGTATGAAAAACTGCATTTTCCTCACAAACTGGCACCCTTCCGTGAGAAGAGGGGTAGCGTCACCCTCACCGGTGGAACATCCAAACATGAGTAATGAATCATGTTTAAATACGAACAAACCCCGGTGCTTGTTCTTCGAAAATTAACGCGCGAGGTGTTAGGTACTTCTGTCGGAGCAATTAATCGAAGACAAATGAGCGGTGACATAGTGATCTCATGTGATGAGAACTTTTAGAGGGATGCGCCTCACACTGCCGTGCTAGTGAAAAACGCCGTATGAGCCTTCAGACGTTGCCTTTCCCCTGGCAACAATTTTCGGGAAAATTGCTGATCATTTGTCTACCAATTTTTCAGATAATTTTGTTTGTAATTTGATCTAAAACTTCTGAAAAATATTCAAAATATTTAAAATTCGTATTGGAGGTGAACATTTTTCGCATATTCCCATCGATATGTGGTACTAATATAAAAATTATAAACCACTAAGTATTCTCATATTTCAAGTGTTATTTAGATCTCGACGGTGAAACTATATAACATACCACGTATCTCGGTTTGCGACGTTGTAGCCCTCCTGTCATAATGTATTTCATACGTGGAAAACCACTCAACGTCAGGTTTTTAAAACTTCCGTGATTTCTCCTCTCGGTGTAAAGATAACTCTGTGAAAACTTCAAGAAATGAAATTGATTTGTTCTCTGTCGAAAAAATAAGATGGGAGCAGAGATTTTTAAACACCGCAAACGAGATAGGTGGTCTGATAGCTTCACCGCCGATTTGGAGCTAGAAACCACTATTGCAGGGGTGGAACTCGGCGTAATTAGGGTTTGTATAAATTGTAGCAAGATAAATCGATTTTGAAAAAGTTCAAGATTCAAATGTACAAACAACCCCTCCCTACTGGTCGGAGACATCGAAACGGATAATAGAACAAACTGTGCTATGAAGCGAACTGAACGGTTTCGCAGCATCTCTTGTCAAAAACGGGAGTATCCATGCGTGTTTTGTGGCCTACCTTCCGCTTTGAAGGCGCATCAATTTCCAAACATCGGAAGCATTACGCTGAACATGCCAGTGGCGAGGCATAAATGATCGATTATCGATATTTCCCCATCTGAAGCTACGGTGAAGAATCGATTTTTGAGGTGTTTTTCGCGCACATCCTGTTCATCGATCTTTTTCCATAGGTTTAAATGACAGATCAATCGATATATCTCGAAGCACGCCACGCCACGCCACTGGAACATGCGAATATACAACACCGAAGTCACCAAACTGCACGGATCCACTCAAATTCCCGCCACTGAAGTCAGCTTTGGGTGCTCCTGGGTGCCCGCCCACTTGTCGGAACAAAAAAACAACCCCCCCTCCCTGCCGCCCGCCCCTTCATCCCCCGAACATCAACACATGCGTGGTAGAGGAGTGAGTCGACAGGTCGGTGATATATCCTCGTTTCATTAGGTATTAACATGTGTTAAAGTATCGCCTCCTTTCCTTCTCTCGCCCTGGTGCCGTGTCGTTTTGTGGATGAATCGATTTATCGGCGGTTTTAACCTATGAGAAAGATTCGATGATAATCGATTCTTCACCGTTCCTTCAAATAGGAAAATATCTATAGACGGTTTTTCCAAAGGTGAGGCGTGACTGATCGATTATCGATATTTCCCTATTTGAAGCTATGGTAAAGAATCGATATTAAGGTGTTCGTTGCGAACACCCTGTTTTTCGATCCTTTTCATGGGTTTAAATGGCAGATAAATCGATATGCAAAGCCACTATTCGTCCTCCTCCTCATTACGTCGTTTCCTAGACGAAGGAACGTAACTACAAATCAATGTTGCCAAATTTCCCTTCGTAAATTGCATTTTAACCAGAAAAATCTTGGGCATTTCTAACTGAAAATTTCACTGATTTTTCTTCAGATTTCATGCACAAATCAGACAAATTTGGATAAAAATTGCACACTTACATTTTTTTTAAAATAAATTAATTGTTGGAGTCAATTTGGCAACCTTGGATTGGAGTTACGTTCCTTCGTGCGGGAGACGACGATTAGAGCTAAGCGTTTTCTTAATGTGATTCTTTCGTTATCGCTTCGTTCTATTTTCTTGCGCGTCGATTTTTTTTTTTTTTTTTTTTTTTTTTTTTTTTTTTTTTTTACCCTCGGATCTGTTTTGCCATGCTAAGAAAGAACGCTATATGAACATTCGAGAGTTGCCAAATTTCCTTGAATAACACATGTCTTTGTGAGGAAATTTTTGCATAGTTTCCTTCGAAATTTTCAGACATTTTGGATGAAAACGCGAAAAAAAATTTGCCAGAAAAATTTTATTAAATATTCACAATTTATCCGAGGAATTTGACTTTTATTGAACTAAATGTGGCAACATTGAAGGCTAATACGGTGGTCCTCCTTAGCATAGCAGCGCTGGTCGTTCTTAGCGGTTGAGGAACACTCCCGCGGGGGGGGGGGGGATTGCAAAAAAGTGCATAACAGGGGTCGTTCGGTTGCAGTACACTTTGCGCGATATTCCTGCAGCGGTTCACGATGTTGTCGGTTCGCGGTGAAATTAAAAGCCGGCCTGAAGCACAGTGGATCGAGTCAATTAGAGATGTCGGTCAAAATTTGGAAACTTTAAACACTCATAACTCCGTTTATACAAAACTTTGAGGTTCTGAAAGTGGGTCCATTGGTTTTCACGTAAAATTCCTTGCCATAAACACCCCTTAGAATTGAAAATTTGACGAAGTAAACATCAAAATTTGCATTTTTAGTAAAAAATGTCATGTGCAACCTCTCTGATTGACTCGATCCACTGTGCGGTGCTCGAGTGACGCGAATCGGGGAATTTTTGTGCACGAATGCGCGTTTGTCTTCAAGGCATCGAGATGCAAGTTCGTTGACCCTCTGTCCACACCGTCTCCGCATCGTGTGATTTATACAAAAAATAACGATGATAATTATCATGATACGTTATGACCAAAAAAATGCTATGGAACTTACAGCGGCGCATTTTATGCTGTTTTTCCCAAGATAAGCACAATGCGCGTCAAGAATAAGCTTTTGGAGATATGCGAGTTCAATATTTGCTCGATTAACTATGTGCATAGGGTTTGGGTGCGATACAGTTCCTTTTAGCATAAATATGTCCATACTTCCTATGGACCGAGTTGAACGGAAATGCGCCAAATCGTATTTATGGATTTATGCATAAAAAATATGAGCTTGGAGTAGTTTTGAGTTCAACTCATGAATACCCCAGATCTATTGAAAATTCGAAGGCAAGGAACAATATTTTAAACGTGAGTGGTTAAACTTTTTTCCTCAACGATTAGTCTGATGGAGGAGGAAAACTTCAAATTTCCGTATTTCTTGTTTCAAACTTGATGCGACTTGGTATGCATTTCTAATTTCTATTCAGCTTGGTCTATTTTCCGATGATAAAACATGCATTTTTGACAACATTCATGCATATTTTTCCTTACAATTTTCAGCTATTTTATATTAAATTGCGTACAAAATTGTCTGAAATTTTTGGAATATAATATTCACAATTTTCCCAGTAATATCGATTTTTATCGGAGGAAACTTGGCATCTGGAGGCTCATACGGCGTTCTTCTTTAGCACGGCAGAATAATTGTTCAATTCATGAACCAAGGGTATCCTCGTGTTCACCTCTTTCAGTAGCTTCCACTTGTAGACGAAATTCATCAAATTTCAGACACCTGCAAATCGACGGTATAAGTCGGCAATCACATAACTCGCACGGTTTCCGACGTCCCAGACTTCCTGTCATACTTTATTTTTTAAACAGAAAACTACTCAACGGCAATTTTTTAAAACTGCTGTGATTTTTCTTCTCTGATATGCAAAGAAAATTCTGCATGAACTTCAAGGAATGATGTGTATTTGTTTTCCTTTAAAAAAATCATGTAGAGGCGGAGATTTTCAGACACCGCAAACGAGATATGTGATTGCCGACTTGCGCCGTCGAATTTCTCGAAAACGGGATGGTTGTTGGGGGGTACTCACGGGGCATTTGTTGGGCTTCTCGCCGGAATGGACCCGCATGTGGATGAGGAGCTTGTAGCGGGCGTTGAAGGGCCGGGCCTGGCGCATGCAGGACTCCCAGAGGCAGGTGAACTGCTCCCCCTTGCGCGGCTCCACGTGGTAGGACTCGATGTGCCGCACGAGCGCCTCCTGACCAACGCACTCCGCCCCGCACCACGCCCACTTGCACTCCAGCACCTCCGCGTCCGCCTCCGCCTCAGTCTCCCCACCTGAAAACCACCAATCAAAAACAGGGAAACATTAGAAAACCCTTTCTCATTGGCTCACTCATCTTAGGCACCGTCATTGGCGGATCCACCAACTTGGCAACATTGTCTTTTGTACATTTGGACTGCATTTTGCAATTTGGAACTATAAATTCTGGCTCATGTGAAAAAACACTTATACGCATAGGAAAACTAATGGCACATACGTTGATTTTAAACCGGGCCAGAATTTATAGTTCCAAATTGTAAAATGCAGTCCATTTAAACCTTTGTAAATATATCAATTCTTGGAGGGGACATGTGCTCCTAGAGTTATACTGAGAGTAAAGACAATGCAAATCAATTTCTGGTTGGTTAACGTATTTTAGGCCTCCACAGTGTCACGAACGGGAATAAAGATTACAGTTTCACCAATGAAGAATTTATACACAAAAATGTTATTGCTTCATCTGAGAGTGCCTAATGAGGTGAGTTCGCAGTATTTTTCATAATTTTTTGCTGACATAGGAAATTGTGGAAAAATAGATTTAAAAGTAAGAAAATGTGCCGCCTTAAGACATCATCTGGCGGTATTTTCTATTTAAACACATGCATTTAGGCAGATTAGGTTATTTTGTCATATTTTCTTAAATAATTGCTCAATTTAGAAACCAAGGATATCCTCGTACTCAGTTTTCCTATAGCAGTATCATTTTAAAGATGAAATTGTCAAAATTTCAGACACCTGCAAATTCTCCATTGCAAAGATTATAAACTGGAGTAGACCGAGGAATTGGGGGTACGGCAAGGAACAGATGGAATGAGAGAGGAAAAGGAGGATAATCACGCAGGACAGGATCATGAGTTTTTGGAATTAACCCCGTCTAACAGAAACTACTAGCGCACGGATCTCGAGTCTAAGCGCGAATCGTAAGTCCTAAACACAAAGAGCAAGACTAGAGTAGACAAGTTGGAAGGGGCGAAACGCGTGATACAACTATTTCAACTTCCATGTGGATAAAATTGCATTCCCACGCAATGAAGGAGAATTTCGTTTCCGCTGAATCAGAGACTTTAACGCAGGAGTGGAAAAGTTAGATTGGGCGAAACGCGTGATACAACTATTTCGACTCCCAAGTAGATAAAATTGCATATCCACAAAATGAAGGAGAATCTCTTTTCCGGTGACTAGGAGACTTTAACGCAGAAGTAGAAAAGTTGGATGGGGCCAAACGTGTGATACAACTATTTCAACTTCCAAGTGGGTAAAATTGCATATCCACGCAATGAAGGAAAATCTACTTTTTGCTGACTTGAGGACTTTAACGCTTGAGTAGAAAAGTTTGGTGGGGGTGAAACACTTGATACAAATAATTTGATCTCCAAGAGGATACAATTGCATATATCCACAAAATGAAGAGCATGGCATTCTATATCGTCCCAACTATTCGGTTCGTCAAACCCAACTTTCAGTTCATGTGATCAAACATTCCGTTCGTATGATCGAACTTATGAGATTATGCCGCACATTTCTTGCCCCCGTAATTCCTTTACACGTGTTTACGAATATAGTTATATCGTTATTCCAAAAAAATAATTTACCGTGCTTCTCTTCAGCATTCAGTCGTGATGTGCAGGAATGATCGACCTGAGGCGGCATCTCCGAGTCGGGAATATTGATAAACGGTTCTTCACTCGGCAAAAACTGAAATGAAAAAATCATCGCATTACATTAGTTCCTAGTTTTGTCTTAAAATATAGTAAATCCCTGAAAATCATAACTTGGAGCTAAAGTATCAAGAAAATTAGCAAAATATCTGCCTTTAGCTGAGGAAATGAAGCGATTATGGAACCTGAACATTGTTTGCATCAAGCCCCTTATAATGTCAGTATAACGAGGATAGTTCCAAAAAGTTTAATTCAACATCCTCGAGACCTTGGAATAGAGAGGTACCTGCTTCATTCAATGCAGAAATCCGTCATCATATGCACGTCGAGTATTGTCAGGTCGTTTCTTAATGTCGATTAATTTTTCGATTTCACTTTAAAATTTTATTTTTTTATTTTTTTAATTTTACTTGGAAATAAAATTTACTTTTCATTTTAAGCAAGATAGTGTGTATTACCGACTTTGGCCTGTGGCCCGTCTGTAATACTTGAACTGAAAGTGTTCCCTCTTCGAAGTTCAAAAAAACAAAAAACAAATTAACCAATTAATAAATAAACCAACCGAAAAATTAACCTGCATTTTTAACTTCAATTTTAAATTTCTACTCCAATTTTAAATTTTTAACTCCAATTTTAAAGTTTTAATCCCACTTTTAAATTTTTTACTCCAATTTTAAATTTTTAATCCCAATTTAAAAATTTTAACTTCAATTTTAAATTTTCCTTTTTTTGTAAATTAATCGGAAGCAATTTTCATCCTTCCAAAAAAAAAAAAAAAAAAATCTAGAAGGACTCTCCTTTACATTGAATTGCGGGTGGAGGACTAAATATCTACCTGCCTCGAGCTGTGAATTGAGAAACGAGAACATAATAATAATGGTTTCATGATATTGAATAAGTGTTACCTCTTGAAACTCATGTTCAGGCGCGGCGCGCCCATCGGTAACCGGATACAACCCAGAGGCGGCCTCGAGGATCCTATTATACTGGAGGCGGAAGCGCGCTCCGGGGGCGCCGCTGGGAGGGGCGTCATCGAAGCGTCGGGTCCCGGGAATCATGGGCGGCAGCGCCCCTACCGCCCCATCGCTGTCGCCCACCGAGTCGGCGTCCTCGAGCAACCAGTCCGGCGAGAGGGCGCCCAATTCTGCCTCTGAAAAAGGGCTCCCGACGCCCTCTGAGCCGGAGCAGTAATCGCTGTGGCTCAGCGCTTGGTAGAAATCCGAGAGCAGCGCCCTTCCCGCTTCCGAGGGGCTCTGGCTTTGGTCTAGCTCGGTCTTCACCGTTGAAGTGATTGAACCGCTTTCGGGCTTTGGGCTGGTGTGCATGTTGGGGAATGATCTCGGATCTGCTTCTGTACTCGGGTGCCTTAAAGGAAAACCAACAATATTCATAAACAGAACAAAAAGAGACACAATAAAATGAGAAAGCAAGGCTGGAAATGGAGATGTTGCATGAGGAATTTGCGATTTGACCGTTGATTCTTATGCAAAAGCTCGCGAGAAACACGATGGTGCCACTGGTTTTCTCTGCCTCTCGCACTTTATTTTCTAGGTGGAAAAGTAATCAACGTCAGTTTTTTGCAACTTCCGTGTTTTTTTTTCTCTGTGCGAGGAAAACTCTGTAAAAATTTCAAGAAATGATAATGACTCGTTCTTTTTCAAAAAAATAAAGTGTGAGCGGAGATTTTTAAAGACCACAAATGAGATACGTGATCTGGTAGTTTCACGGTTGATTTGCGACAAATAACATTACTGTTGTTCGGTTTTCTATTGATCTTCCGAAATCAAAAATATTACTAAAGTTACGAATCAGATGAAAAACAAATAAGGAAATAAATCACCAAAAAAGTAAAAGCCTGGATACACGTTCAGATTTTCATCAATTTCCGATCGAATGGTGACTGGTGCGCACCATCTACCATCAATTTTTTAAGGCCTGCAAAAATTTGACGGTAGATGATGGAACTTTGGGCCTCATCTGTCATCTGATTTCCATAAAACCGTTCTTATTTCAATCAATACGCTGTTTTAATTAATTTTAGATAATAATTTGAATAACTCTCGACCGCCATTTTGGTCATCGTTTTGATCGGAAATCGACGGAAATTTGAGTGTGTATCCAGGCCTTAAAACTTGCACAATATATTTACCTGATGTTATCAATCCCTGAAATACAGGTCATTTGAGGCGAGTTGGATGGCTCTGGTGATTGCTGACTGTAATCACATCCTAGATTTCGCTCTCTTTGATCCAACTCTGTTGGTTTGAGGTCCTCGCCACTTCCTGGTATACTCGACTCCGCTTGCAAATTTTCAATTTTCAGCGGACAATTGGAGGGTTCCTGCAACTGGTCCCAAGGGCTCCAACTCTTGTCCTCCGCTTCCGGCCTGTGGTCCTCTACATTAAGAGATAGCTCCTCTGAAATATTCGAATGCGGATTTGAAATTTTCAACGGACAATTTGAAAGCCCCTGTAGCTGGTCCCAAGGACTCCAACTTTTTTCTCTCGACTCCGCTCTGTAATTGTCTACGCCGAAGGAGAGTTCCACTCCACTCTGTTCCGCTTCGAGTTTCAAAGCCCCTCTCTCCTCCGTCAAAAATCCGAGTATTTGCTCCACTTGTGAAATTTTCGATGGTCCAGCATCGGTATTCGAGTCTTTTAGAATCCCTTGATTCATTTTTTGTGTGGCTCCTAAATCGTTATTCCGCTCGATTGCTGATTGTTTCTCCTGGCAGGGGATTTGCTCAGCCTCAACACTAATTGGATTTTCTTGTCTGACTTTATGAAAGTATCCACTCTCAGTGTTCCTCTGCTGGTGGGGAGATCCAAACTTATCTTCGGCAGTCTTCGGTAGGAAAGTTTGCCACTCTTTTTCATCATAATTTTGGAGCAAGTCGCTGAGAACAGTTCGCTCAGCATCGGGGTCAAAACTCAGGTCGCAGAAACAGGATTCAACGTCAGGGTTCGTGTCAAATACGCATTGCGCTACTTTGGTGCTTTGCCGGTTGCCGCTCGGCCGATTGCAGGCGCTGTAAAGGGACTTCTGGCCACCGTCGGCTAGAAATTCGCAGTCGATGAACTCGTTGTCGTCAGTGATCAGAATCTTGTAATTGTTTTCCATTAAGCGGAACATCGCGTCGAAGAGTGTTGCATCGCAGTCTTCTTTGTCTGGGTGGTTGCCGCTTGGCCAAGCGCAGGCGCTTCGCTCAGCTTCAAGTTTCATTTTTGATGGGGTTGGTTTAGCAGTATCGGGGAATTTTTATGCTTGTCGACGACGGTTGATTTTTCATCCCCCTTCATTGGGTGTGCTTAAATTTTTTTCAGTCTTACTCACTGTTAGTTTTCTAATAATACACCTGCACAAAAAGAAATAGTTCGTTAAACAATTTTTTATTTATTTATTTTTAATTTTTAATTTTTCTTTAGATGTCAAATAATCTTGTTTGATCTTCTTTACAAGTCTTTGATTTCTAATGTTGTATAGAAGAGGTTTTATCAAGCAAGTTAGCACACTGAAAGAAAAAATACCTCGAAGGCTATTTTTACTTGAAAAAGGGAAATTTTACTCGATTTTCTGTGCCCAAGACCTCTACTAGTTTTATTATTTGAAGCAGTTACGTTTTGATATCGAAGGCATTTTGTAAAATCAAAAGCGCAACATTCCTCTCCTCAAGAATCCTCGAGATAAACTTATTAGTCTAAGTTAATAATTGTCATTTGGAAATATTTGACTCAGTGAGAACGTAAACACACCAACTCGGAAAATGAAAGTAATCAAGACACACACAAAACTGCACAGTAGATGAAGAAATTAGTCTGAGAAAAAGATTTTTGGTGCCGAAAGACAAGCACTTATGGACATTTTAAAGGTGTAAACTGGAACAAATGTGCTAATTTCAATTACCTTCACAAAAATTGACTGTCTTTAATGAAAGTTGCGCATTTTTGAGTTACCGAGTTGGTGGTGTGTTTTCGATCTCACTGATTCATTTATGCTAAAAGGAACTATGTTGTACGCAAACCCTATGCACATAGTTCCTTTTAGCATAAATACGCCCAAATAAGCTGTATTTTATGCTAAAAGGAACTATGTTGCACGCAAACCCTATGCATATAGTTCCTTTTAGGATAAATACGTCCATTTGTCTGAAATACGGTCTCAAAATACATTAAACCCCCCCCCCCCAAATTGTTCCAGGGCGTTAGTCCAAGAATCAAAAAATGCACATTGGTTTTTCGGTTGGTTTAAATATGTAATCCTCTACACTCAATAAATATTTTTTTAGTATGCCCCATCAGCTTATTTCTGTCATCAAATTCACAGCCGACAAGTACATTTATAATATATATTTCCGATTATTTGATCAAAAATATTTTTCAATATTTTAATTGAAAAATATTGTTTTTTTCTTTCATTTCTTTCATTTTTGTTTCCTTTTTAGAAAGAAAAAATCGTCACGCCCTCAACTAAATACTCATTTCTTTATAGAAAACATTGAATAAGCACCTACACGGAAAAAATGGATTGCTGATTTAACAGTTTAATAGTTAAAAAATATTTCCGACATGCTTCAAATGTACATTTTACAAAAGTGGAGAGCTAATTTAACCACGAGGGTGGTTAAATTGGCATTTTTTTTTTTTTATTGTAAAATGCACATTGAAACACGCTGGACACTTTATTTAGCTACAAAATTGTTAAATCAGCAATCTCATTTTTTTCCGTGTATGAAAATAACACGAAAAAAGGCAGAATAAAATATTACAACTTACTCGAAGTTATGACTGTCCAAATATATTGACCAAAACTTCTATCCAGAAACGAAAAAGATCACTCAAAAGTTGGCACCACTCACTTCCATTTCACGTCATCACTCGAAAAAGTCTAATAACCCGCGTTGCATGAAGAGCGAACAAGAGCATGTAAATCAAGCATCTAATTAAATCGTTTACCGCCGAAGGAGTGCGAGGTGTTGACTAACCCTTTCTCCTTCGTCAACTTCGGTGACAATTTTGGTCATGGCCACATCAGGCCAAAAACAAACCGCAAAACGCACAACAAATCCTCAAACAATAACCGATTTTTCGCACAATTCGGCATCAATGGAAACAGCGACGTCTTAAGGCCTTACGATTGGACGGTGTCACGAGGGAGGGCCCGGCCCCTGCACCTGTCACAAACAGGGCTGCCACCCGCGCCGAGCAATTAGATTATTTTTAATTAGTCAGTAGTCTCTTGGATATTCGGAGGATTTTTCGTAAATTTGGCAATCTCGGACCAGGAGTTTTTTATATCGCGCGGCGTGCTCGGAGAGTCAGAGGGGGTGAAAGGGTTATAGTAAGATGCGTAGTATTTTATTCGATTTTTTATTTTTATTTTGGACCGCCGGCTTAATTATCCCGCTAATAAGGAACACTCTTTAGGATCGAGATGAGCATCGCATGTCTTGGAGGCATTTCCAGTTTCGCGTTTTGAGTAAATTGAATTACATGGATCGAAAACGATTCAAGTGGCTGAAAAACTAGATTCAATACGCGCCTATAAATGGACTACATTTTGCAATTAGGAACCATAAATTCCGGCCTGGTTTAACAACGTATGTGCCAGTAGCTTCCGTATGCACATAAGGGTGTTTTTTTTTTTTTTTCAGATGAACCAGAATTTATAGCTCCAAATTGAAAAATGCAATCCAAATACTGTATGGGCTCACCAAGGTAGTTCAACGTAGAACGAAAAAAAATTTTAATTTAAATTTTTTTTAAAGAAAAAAAGAAAAGAAAACTGACGCCCTACTCGGAAATTCCGACGTTCTTCACATTTTGAAACGTTAATGCGCCAACTTAAATGCAGCCAGGTATCCCACGACGAGATTCGTAAGTTGCCCCGTTTTAAGTAGAAATCCTGTGTTTTGGAGAGCTACTTGTTTTCTGTTTTAATGGGCGAGGTTAATATAATCGGCCCCTATGTCTAACGTTACCTCCGTTATTCGCAAACAACATAAAAAAATCCATAATGATCTTTGCGAAAATTTTACCGCCGAGTAATTTACAACTAAACTAGGTTACAAACTTGTCAATAGACCTAGAGTTCTTCCACGTTCAATTTGGAACCATCACCGTTTTTGTGCAATGATAAATAGACCAGTTGCAAGCCGTGGATGATCGATTATCGATATTCCCCCATTTGAAGCCATGGTAAAGAATCGATGATTAAGGTGTTCGTTGCGAACACCCTGATGTTTTCGATCCTTTTCCATAGATTTGAATGGCAGATCAATCGATACATCGCAAAGCACGCCACGCCACCGGTGTGGATCATAGCTGCGTGAATGATCTATCATCGATATTCCCCCATTTGAAGCTATGGTAAAGAATCGATGATTAAGGTGTTCGTGGCGAAAACCCTGATGTTTTCGATCCTTTTCCATAGGTTTGAATGGCAGATCAATCGATACATCGCAAAGCACGCCACGCCTCTGAAATAGACCCGTGAGTATGATGGCGTGATAGCGGAAAGAGCAGTAGGTGTCAAATTTTCGAAATTGAGATTCCTTAAAAATTTGTCTAATCTCTTTTGGATGAAATTCTTCAAAACCCTGATTAAGCTAAAACAACAAAATTCATCTAAATTGTATAAAAACTAGACATACAAGAAAGCTATAAGCGCGCAAAATAAGACTTAGTTTATCAGACAAGGCAGCAGTAAGTGACATTATTCCTAGAAGCCAATGAAGACAGTGCTGTTAAGTAAAGTGGTGTCTTCTGCCAATTTCCGACTTGAAAATGTGTTTGGTGTGTGTCCAAAATGCAACCACGGAAGCAAACTGAAGATAACACTTACGGCCGACTTGTCTAACAATAGCTTAGCATGATAATGAAAAATACCCTTTTCATGTAGTGGACGACTAGACAAGGTTCAAAGTGAAGCATTCTGATATATGTTTCCTAAAATGTCTACTATAAAACGTCACGTAAAACACACTTTGCGCAGCGAAAATTACTGAAATTAACACCTAATAAAGCTATGTCATATTTCTTGACGCGTGAATTCAAACCTCCCGCTCATAAAAACTCAATGGTCTACGTGAGTCAAATCGCGCACTAACGTTACCATGACGGCCTTTGCGGTGTAAAAATCTGGCAACCTCAATCTTGACGCCTTGGCTCAGCAATATACCAAGTTGTATAAGTATAGTTTGAACTACACAAGGTGGGAAATAAAAAGTGTTCGATTAAGAAGCCTGTCGAAACCTTTGTGGGACGCGATTCGACTCATGTGGAGTATTGAGTCTCTAGTGACCGGGCATTTCAAATTTCCCATGATCAATGTAAGATGAGAACATTGATATCTTAGTTGGGAGTTGAATTCAGCCATGTTTGATGCAATTGTCTCGTTCTACGTGAAATTCTGCTCAAAGAGATGTGTATCAGAATGCTTCGATTCGTATACCTTGTCTAGTGGTCCATTGAAATAAAATTGGTCGATTTTTGATCATCCAAACGATTTCTATGAATCTTTCGAATGATCAGTGGCAATTTGACAAAGAACGGTGGCTTCTTTCAATAAAATTTTCCGGCCAGAGCTTCTGAGCCCGTTTTCTCAAAACTTCATTTTGCACTTACTGTTCTCCTCGCTATCACGGCAGCACAGCAACACGCACCTTCCCCCAGTGCTGTCATGCTAAGGAAAAACGCCGTATGAACCTCCAGGCGTTGCCAAATTTCCTTTCATAAAGCACGAACTTCCTGGTAAACTTATGAATATTTTCTATCCAATTTTTCAGATACTTTTGCTCGCAATTTCACCTTAAGTTCCAGGAAATTTCAAGGAAAAATATTGATAACTTTCCTAAAAAATGAACATTTTATCGAAGGAAATTTGGCAACTCTCGAATACTCATACAGCGTTTTTCCTTATTAGCATGGCAGTGTGGACAACAATACGTTCACATGTTCGCCTTCACTGGGCATGAGTCGGCAATTTCTCGACTTAGGAGCATATTTATTTGTATCCTAGTTTACCGAACTTAACACATGCAATTATAGCGCCAAAGACGGCACGCGGCGTGGATGTGGGCGAGGCAATCGAGGCATCCTAAGTACTAGCGCGTTCATTTGTTCCCCTTACTGTGCATTGATAGGCAATTTCTCGGCATTGGAGCACGTGGGTTTGTATCCTGTTCTGCGTGCTTTTTTCCATCTTTTTCATAATCCTTACCTCCATCGCGGCGCGACTTGGTGCCTTGGGTCAGATTGTTGAAATTGATAGCCAAAGCGATAAGCAAAGAGGACATCGAGATTATGGAGCGATCTTATTGCTTAAAATGGATTTGCCTATACTCCGAGGGAGAAAATGATGGAAGAACTAAAGCGTCTCTTGTGGGTTGCCTTTATCTAGTCTATTGCCTACCTCCTGTGTCCGTTGCAACCTCCCGCTCCCACCAATAGGATCCCCCCATATTTTTTTGCCTTTATTGTCTATAGCCTTGTCTACCAATTCCAACAATCTGCCCACTTAAAACCAATGACCAAAGACTTTTAGGCTTGATTTATCGCCTTTTAGCACGACAAGACGAAATTTAAAATGCTGTTTTTGAAATCAGTGTAGCCGTGTTTCCTCGCAACAGCCTAGCGTCCTGATTATTGACATTCATTGACAGAGAAGACCACAAAACTGGAGCGATCCTATCGGAGTAAGCGGGTGGTTGCAATCGATTAACCAAGGTAAGTAATAGGCTTAGGGTCTTAGGTATTTATGGTCGTTCCAGAAACAGCTCCTTTCCTTAGAAAGCCCCAGATCGCTTCAATTATAGTTAAGGGATGTTTAGGGGATCCTTCACAAAGCATAATAAAAAGGATAATCTTAGCAAATCTGGAGTAAAATCCGACATTATAACTTCGAAAATAGATCCTTACACGAGATAACATGAGTTCTCTTCAACAAAACATTAAAAATACAAGAGAAAGCATTTTTCAAATTTGAAACATTTTAAGGTTCGCACCCACCCCGACGTTTTTTAAAAGCATAGAACTTTAAGCGCCTAGCCGATAGGTAGACGCTTTGCCACTTTGGCTCAGCAACTCAACAGAACATGGCCGACGAGATTCTCAGAATTTTCTTTTTACCAGCTAATAATACCTCTTTGACGTTATAAAATGGGCGTATTTATGCCAAAAGGAACTATGTCTCGCGCAAACCCTATGCACATAGTTCTTTTTACCAAAAATACGACCAAATGTAAATTAGCGGATCAAATAAATAACATTCCCAACATTTTCTACGCTGGGAAGTTTATAGTTACTTTAATATTATGTCTAAAAATCCATGCATTGAATTCTTTTCGTCCGAACTTTTCGCCACCGGTGAAGACTTTTTCTGAAGCTGTTAAAGTTCGCCTCCATATGAGACAGCTGTTGCGCACCCATCACCATGGAGATGCAGCTTTTGACACGCGTCGCTCATTCTTTCAACCCAACGATTTCAACCCTGTCCTTTGCGCTTCGTGTATCCTGTATCGTACTTTCCCCCAAGAAAATCTAACTGCTGAGCGCTTCTCTAATTCCTTCGTAATAGAGCTTTCTCGCTTGATATCTTCTGTAATTTTAATTTTTTGTTGAGGTGAACTCTTAATATTCTTTTAAGGCTTTATTTTCGAAGATAGCTCCTGTTGAATTTTACTCGAGCTTCGTAAAAATTGGACGTATTTCTGCCAAATAGAACTATGTGCATGAAGACATGAGCCCTGAGACCCATAAGAATTTAGGCATAACAGGGCTCAAGTCGTTATGCACATAGTTCCGTTCGGCAGAAATACGTCCAATTGTCCGTCTTATGGCGAGGAGTTAAGGAAATCGTCACGCCTCCCTTAAAAAAAAAGGTATCCCAAATGAGGCTTCCTAAGGAGAGGAGCTTTTTAAGGAACGTCTGTGAATACCATTCTCTTTTAAGGC